GGGGGGGTTCGTGAACTGTAGGAGTGTCACAGCATATGTAATTGATGCCTTCCTCTGCAGGGGAGTTTAATGGAGTCCTGCTTGGGGACAGGGGTTATGCCTGCACCTCCTAACCCCTTACCCAGAACCTCATACTGAGGCAGAAAAGCAATTTAACAACACCCACTCGAAAACAAGGCCACGAATAGAAATGACCTTCGGCCAATTAAAATCCATGTTTGAAATTCGTACAGATATCACAACTATTGCAGGGCAACTTAAGGCTAACACAGCTCTCACTGCTTTAACCCTTGCAGATTCCAGTGCCTGAAGGGCCTTAGAGTAAGGCCGGACCAAGCATGCAACATTGTGGGTGCCTGTGCTGTGCTACACAATATAGCAACCATACGGCGGGAGAAACTGCCCACAGTGTTGGTGGAGGAGCAGTGGGAAGACATACCAGCTCTAGAGGAAAGATTGGAAGGACGGACTGTAAGAGACCTTCACAGGGACAGTTATTTTATGTAAAGCCACTGGTGACCATTGAGCCCCAACCCCCAGCTCATGTAGTGGTGGATAAATAAAACATGCTCAAAATGGACACTATTTCCTTTATTCACATTGTCCAGAACAGACAGCATTTCAGAACTAGAGATTGTCTAATTAGTAACCTTTTTTTTTTTTTTTTTTTTTTTTAAAAAAAAAAAACAAAAAAAAAAAAAAACTTTAACAACATTTATTCATGTAAAATATTGTTTTGGGACACTTTCCCAATAAAATAAATAAAACAAACTAATTTAAACAAGTTGGAATACTTTATTTAAGGTGCAAAAATGTCAATGTATTACATCACCAGCTGGTGGTGCTGTTTCACAACTCTGCCTCCTGCCGTCACTGTTCTGAATCTGTCCAATTATTCCTAATTGGACAGATTCAGAACAGACATGTCAATCATCCTTTGCTTGAAGCTGTGGAGAGAAAGACAAAAAATTAAAAACCCAGTTTGGCTTGTAAATGGCTCGAACATCCTGTGACAAAGAATGCGTCACAAAGACGCCAAGTATGTTATTGTTGCTGGTAATAATGGGTAGTTACTCACTTCACTCTTTGCTGACGGGGACGGTGGTGTGGGCACATCCTGCAACAAGGTTTACTGTTAATAAAACAGAGTTCTTCAGATTGCACACATATCCAAGCCATTTCACATTTGGGCTTACCTCCTGAATATCGGTGTCTGCAGACACTGTCTCTTCATCAACAGCCCTGGATGTACTGGGGCCATCAAACTGCAAAATGGGGAAAACTAAATCTGTTAAAGTAAGAGAAGATAGCATGACAGAATAGCCTGTAAACCAAAACCATGACTAACTTACACATGGGTCAGGAGTGTCTTGCACAAATGTAGCTGGGGGGGGGATCAAGCAGAACTACATAATCGCCTCTCACTGCATAGATGGGCATACCGTCACTTATCAATTATCATAACTAAGAGACTGACACCCGGAGGGAATGTAGTGGACAATACCTTGTACATATTTCTCCCGGACACCTGAGGGGATGATCTCTGTTGATACCCCACCTTCTATTCCCTCCTGAGGTCGACCTCGATTAAGGCTCAGTGCCAGCTCCTCTGCTGGTGTGAGGTCTTCAGGTGGAGGCCCCCCACCAGTAGCAGTTGCCTGCCTCTTTTTCTTGGCAGCTACAGTGACATTTATATATTTTTAATCTACTATTGAGATCACATTGCAATTTCTTTATAAGCTACTTACCATTATGGAAGATATTTTTATATTTAGGTTTTAGTTGCTGCCAGGTTCTTCGCTGCCCACTTAGATTGCTTCTGTTGAGATGTAACAGTGAAGGATTAATATGCAAGACCAGGGTAAGGCTACCGGGTCAGTAGAGTACACACACATCTAAGTCAGTAAAGCTCTTAACAACCTAGTTATATTACACTTACGTGGTTACAAGGGGGCTTAAATCAGATATTTTCTAATATGCTTATTTGTGCAGAACATTTCATACAGGTGCAATTTAAAGAATTTACAGAGATCAAATAATAAAGAACATTATATTATAAGATCGACATGTAAACTCAACACAGAAGGGTCCACGTTAGCCACAGGGATCGAACCAGCAACCGTAGTAGTGCGAAACATTAACCACTGTACCCATGATACACTTGTAACGTTTACATAACTTACGAATTAAGTCTGTCCGCAATATTTTGCCACGCCTTTTCCCTGGCTTTATTAATTGCAACGGTGTTCCCTTTTTTATTTATTGTGTCTGCATATTCCTCATACAGGTCCAAGAGCAGCGTTTGCTCAGCAGCGGAGAACAAAACTGCCCGCGTTTTCACCGTCTGGCTCATTTCGGATCTATGTTTCGTTCATCCATTCTTTTGGGCTTTTTAAATATCGCGGGCGCGCGCACAAAGTGAGACTATGCAAGTCTGCCTTGAATAAGCCTCGATTAGTTACAGCTGAGCTACGTTCGTGGAACGACATGAGGCTTAATTTGGAGATGCCGCTAATTTGCGTCTCACTTTTTCGCGTAAGTCTGGCTTTATTTAGCTACTTTCATGGAATACCCCCCTGGGGCTCGTTCTTCGTACGTTGCTTAAAACATCCGAGATCAAATGAGACATCCAAGATGATATCATCGTGCTAATCATGATCCGGCTAATTGGGTTCTTCGAACACACCTGTTGTTTATGATTAGTATCGCTGGATTGAGTTATCTGAGATAATTGCGCGTTCATGCGTTGGTTTAAAAGGGGATATGTATCGATAGTAGAAACAATGATTAGCAACGCTGTTATTGGCTGTTCAGCATGGCCAAAGAACGTGCCCAGTTTTTCTCCCAAGCAGAACAAGAGCTTTTAATGGAAGGTTATGCCGAATTTGAGTCTTTAATTAAAACGACAGGAAACACCTCAAAGTCTGCAAAAGCCAGGAGAGAGGGCTGGCAAAAAGTAGCAGACAAATTAAATGCGTAAGTGCTGTCCATGGTAGATGTTTCTATTACTTTCTACAGTGTGTATTTTTGCATTTTAATAATTTCATATTTACTTTGTTCTTTTATGTCAGAGCCACCACGGGACCCACTAGAACATGGGGACAAGTAAAAGTGAAGTACAAGAATATTCT